TCCATCATTTGAAATCAATGACGTACATCAAAACCATCACTGCCTAGCGCAAAGACAGCGTACTCTGGATTTGGGAATCCCCAGAAGTTTACTGAGACAGGGGAGCACAGCACCTGGAGAAGGCGGTGGGCAATGCAGCCGGGCAATGCAGGGTACCCGAGGGGGAAGGGGGCAACTGCAGGCAAAGCCCAAGCAAGCACAGAGGGGAGGAAGCGTAGAAATAGGGGTGAACTTGGACAAAATGTTCTGTCATGCTATGTTTGGAGACATGAACAGATAATCATCAAGCACAAGATTCAGGCTACTCATATTCACTTGAGCAGGGAGTTAGATGAAATCTGCATCTCTTTTTCCAAGACAGAGATCGAGAAAGTCCAGTTTCTGCCTCTACCTGGAAGTGTATGAAGACGATGAGCTGTATCCATCATTGAAAATGCAGGTGCTTACACATCAGTTGCCATACCGCGTACGTGGCTCACTTCTGAGCCCCCCATAACCTGAAGCTGAGGGGAGGAGCACCCTCAGCTCTCCAGGGCCCAACTTGGCAGATGAGCGGAGTGCGTGCTGACGTGTGCCGACAGTGCTGAGCCGAGCAAAAGCACAGCAGCCATCCCGGCAGCGTTGCAAAGCCCGGATTCGGGGACAGTCTGGCTCACTACAACCTTCGCTGGGAAGTAACTACATCAGAAAAGCTGCGGTTGCAGCTGGCGGCACGGTCCCTTGGGCTCTTGCCCACTGGCTGCAGTTGCACAGCACAGAAAGCAAATGTCTGGAATCAGAAGAGCTGCCCTGAAAATGGGGAATATTGGGCTGAATTTCCTGAGCTTAACAACTGCAAGAGAAACGATGCAATGAAGCTTCGATCCCCACTTTAACTGATTTGAGAAAAGCCTTTGGCACGGTAAGACAACACGGAGCCTCATGCAGGTATTAGCTCTCTAGGCAAGGCTGAGCTGCAGGCAGGTCCGTAAGCAGACGCAGCGCTGAACGGCTTCTCCTCCCCGTAGGGAGCGGTATCCAACATGGCTTTATCCCAGAATCTGGCACCTTGCTCATGCTGGTTTAGGTACCTGCGCCAGGCAGGACAGCGCGAGACCTGCTCCCCTTCTCTGAGGAGGGAGACCTGCTCCAGCTCTGCGACTGCGCCAGGTCCGGGGCTGTCGAGCAGGCTGCACGGGAACCCCCATGTCCATGGCCAGAGGCAGGACCGTGACCGCTGGTTTTGTTGTCTCTGCAAGCCGTTTGCAGACCACCTACTGATTTGATGAGCGTGGCAATCACTTGCCAGGCAGCTCAGAGTAAATCCAGCGACACGTCCATGTCTGGGAGTGGACAGATTGCTCTAAGCCTGGGGGCTGGATGCAGTGTGAGCGTGGGACCGGGCACTCCACCAAAGTGAAGGTACCAGTGCTTACCGCAGCACTGAAGGGCTGTGGGACTTGCGCTGTTTCAGAGGGCGCCTCGTCAGTGGAAGAAGTGCCACCAAAGGCACCTTCAAGCCCTAGTTAGGCCACTCGCAGTGAAAGGACAAGCTGCCCAGCGATGGAGACCTGCAGCCTGCTGACAGCACGTCCACCAAGACATGAATAATGGAGGCCCTGCTGTCACCATGCAACTCCTCTGCGGTGAATACAGTGAACTGGGGCGCAGAGAGAAGAAACACGGTTGCCCAAGAAGGCACATCAAGGATGTCCTATGGGGGCAACTGATTGAACGCCAGTCCCAGGCTAAGTCTTGCAATGTCAGCTGCAAGCAAACCACAGGAGAACAGGCACAGGCAGCATCCCCCAATGGGTACCTCACAGAAATATTAATAGAGAAAGCTTGCAGATAATGAAAAAAGGAGGTAATTCCTTCACGCCTCATTAAAAAGCAGTCACATTTGTGAATGTGCAACAGGAAAGCAAAGTACAAAAACCTAACAAACTTCAAAGGTGCATCTGAAAACACTGAACCTGCCGTTGTATTTTCACTGAGCCTCTATCCTAATAATGTAGGAGACAAAGTTCGAGTCACACGTCAATATTCTGCTGGATCTTGCTCAATGCACTTGTGCAAACAATGCCCAGGTGCCACATACCAGGCTCCCGATTGTCCCCTGAAGTTAGAGAAATGCTATTTGTGGTAGGAAGGACAAGCTTAAGAGCCCAGCTGACACGTCTCTTGCCCCAGTCTATACTCGCCGTACAATTAAGGGGAGAGTTAAGCACCTCCGAAGAGCAATACAAAGCACCTACATGAATCTGCCACTTCTCCCCACCTACTATTTCGGGCACGGGCACTCTGTAGCATGAATCACTGCCAACCTCTGCAAAACATCAGACCCCAGCCTGAACCTGCTCCAGGTGTATCTGTTCCCAGGGGATGCTGCGGACTGAGTTGAGCCCCGTGTGTACAGAGCCAACAGCCGAGAGGGAAAGAACTCTTGCAACATCCCAACTCCTGCCTTTCGGAGAAGCACTTCAGCCAGCAGCACGGTGCACCAGCCTGCCTTCAGAGCCGCAGGAGGCCACTGTCTCTGCAGCAAGCGTGGGGCACGCTCCCATGCAGGCTATGGCAGCCACAGGCTGGGTTCTCCTGAGGGACTGGGTGTAGGGATGGGGGTCCTGGAGAGCTCCTCCAGAAAGCTGGGACAGGGCATCCGTGAGGTGTGTCACACATCGCCCCAGTGCATTAGCCTGCAAAGATGACTATTAAGGGCTGTGATAAATAAAACACAAGGGGCTGGGGGGAGAGACAGACTTTTAATTTGGAAGGTCAAGTCTGTCAAGGTGAATGCTGCCAAGCTGCAGCTTAATTATTAACTAGCCTGATTTCTGTTTGTATCAGCATCAGTACCTACTTTTCAATGCGGATTGCACCCTGGACTCCCTGCTGTCAACCCCAATTAAACCTGATAAGGTCTGGCTATGCCCAGCAAGAACAGGAGCTTGCCAGGACCTCCTGGGCTGCCTCCATCTCCTCCCTGGGAAGGGAAAGGTGGGGACAGAAGGGTCCCTTAAACCCTGCCTGCTCTGACATGTAGGTCTGTGCTACCATTGAGTGCAAGCTTCCTATCCGGGCTACAGGAGCACGCACAGGCTGTTGAGGCTAGGCGAGCTGGGGCTGCTGCACCAAGGTACTCTGCTCCTTGTGCTGGGAGCCCACGGGTTGAAGAGGAGATGCTACAAGCAGGGGAGACAAACAGGTCTGGTAAGACCAAAGGCTGGGTGGGAGGAATGAGAATGAAGTCTGCTTTTGCCCAGGCTGTAGCAATGGCCACAGCTGACACCCACGAGGCACTGGACCCAACGCTTGCTTGCAGGAAGGGAGAAGAGGTTTCTGGTTAAACCACTCCATGTTCTCACTTATTCAGGGTCAGTTAAGACCCTTAAAAGGTAGGACGGATGATGGTCCTGCCACTGCCATGCTCTGGGGCCCTGCTGGGCACGTCCCTGCCGTGCTCGCTCAGCTCTCTCACCCGCTGGAGAATGACCGATGCCTCCAGAGCCATCCTGGGACTTGATCTGCAGCTTTTTGCAAAGCGCTTTCTGACCTATACATGATAAAGCACTTTCTTGGACTCAAAATAGTGTTAAGCAGATCCCCTCCTCCTCTTATTTTTCCCAGGGGAAAGGAGAGCACCGAGCCATGTTCCCACATCACACATTGCTCCTGGAAGGCAGGTACTCCACGAGGGCTTGCTAGCTCAACCTCCTTCAGACCGGGGGCACCAAATGGAAACTGGATGTTGCCTGTGGCCCTCTACACACATTCAAAGTTAGATAAAGCCCATTTCCATGGTGTAATCTGGCCGCTACACCTTCTGAGCTGAAATGGGTAACAGGAAGGCCCCACAACACCATCAGAGAGATAGCTACCCATCACCTAGGCAATGCTGCAAGACTACCAAACAGCCATGGACCAGTTTGTATTTCCTGTCACTTGCTGAATAAATTAGATTAAAACCAGCAATGTATTCATGAAAGATTGCTATGAAGGCCATTTCACACCCCTCAAGCTATCTCATCGCCATCCATTTCTAGAGCGGGCATGTATCTGCATGAAGGTCACCCCTTCTGGGGACTGTGCTGCTAGGAAGAAATTAAAACGACAATTAAAATGGGATTTTTTTTTTGTTGCGGCTCAATAAAATATAATCCTGGCTAAACAAAGTAAACAGTGAGCATGAATGAGTTCCTCTCTCCAGAGCGCTGTCAAGCCGTCAGTCACAACTGGGGAAGACTGCTGGCTAAAAGACACTCTGGCTTTTGAGGTCAGCATATGGATATGCCCTTTACTGAAGCACCGGCAGCCCGGGCTACTTTCTAAAAAGGGAGGAATCTGCTTAGCCCTGAGAGCTATTTTTGAGGCGTGATACATCCCGTATACATGCCCCAGCATTCTTAACGCTAACTGGGAAATGCTGCACATTCACGAGAGGGAGGCTAAGGCACTGGGCTGGGAACCGCGCATTTTTCCACTGCTGGCTCTGCCTTGAGATTGCTGTTGACATGACGGTCCCCAACAGGCCAGTAAACTGGCGTCTCTGCTCCCCAGTCTTTCCCACTGCAAAGTGGACCCAGGAGTTTTAATGCATAAATAAAGAAACATATTTAGAAATATTTTCTTTGATCTCAGTGAGTATGTGGAAATGAGAGTAGAGAAGTATGTACCATTTAGATAATTCCTCATCCCTTTAAAGATCTGGACCTCCTGAGGCCACGAACTTGCAAGCAAAGGCTCTGCTCAGGCTCTCAGTGACTTTTGCAAAGGCGGGAAAGACCACCAGAGCCACTGCTGACAATGGCAAGGACAACTGAAGTAACTATGCACTTTGGTATCAAGTATTTCCCTGTATAAAGAGTATACAGAGAGATCATTGCCAGTGCCAAAACAAAAGGTTACACATCAGGGAAGTTAAAAAACCCTCAGGTTTGACTCTCAAGTCACTCCACAGCCACCCACACTGCTGGGGTCCTCTGCAGCCCCAACAGCTGGCACTGGACACTTGGCCAAGCAAAGCTTTCAAAAGCTTTGCACAGCCTTCCAAGTCTGGCTCCAAGAGCCCATTTGGAGGAAACAAATGCTGGGCTGAACCTGTGCCAAAGGCTCTCCCCAGCCCGGCTACTTTGCCTTGTGTAAAATTCACGGCCCTGTTTTCCTGGGGAGGGCTCTGCAAGGTGGGGGGCAGAGCCAGGATCCCACATTTACCCCCAGGAAAAGGCTGCTGGGACAGGAGAGGTGTTTGCACTTGGGGCATCCATCAGGGCATCCCAGGGCTTCTGCAAAGAGACAGGGCCACCACAGTGAGAGGGGGCCATGCCGCTGCTGGCCCCGCGGGGGCTACCGAAGAGGCGCTGCGGGAGGGTGAACGCCCCAGGGCTGCAGATGAGAGCCAGGGTGCCCAGCGGTGCCAGGGAGGCAGTCCCGGGAAAAGGGGTGCTGCCCGGGAAAAGCTGTGCGAGCTGCTCCGGGAGAGAGGGGATGAGGAGCGGGACCAACAGATTGCACTGAAACGTTCAATAATGCAGGTTTTTTTTGTTTTTTTTTACAAAGATGCCTGCACATCCATGTAATCTAAATCTAACATGACACGGACTAAACGAGGACGTCACTTCTCTCCCCGCTGATTAGCCGTGATTGCTGCTGAGTGACACTCCAGCACGTGCCTCTGCGGCGAGCGGGGCTCTGCTCGCCAGCCAGCCAGCCGCTGGCTTGAAGTACATGAGGGGGCACCCTGGGGGCAAGCGGGGGGGCACCTCAGGCCCCCCCCTTTCCCCTCATAGGCAGAGAGGAGGCTTTTCTTTATGAACTGGAACGCAACTTTCCATAGCTGGTGACCAAGTTCTCCAATAACGACTGCCAAAAGCAATCAGGCTGGATCACAACACAGGGAGGAAAGTTATGTTATTTTAATAGAAATTATTTGGTTCCCGGGGTTCTGATCAAATTAGGCAGCTACTGAATTAAAGCAATGAAATTACTGGGAAGGAGGCTGTGCTTAACTTATTTCCAGTCCTCCTGGACCTGAAGAAGTAACAAAGGAAAATGTCCAAACTGCTCCGAGGAGTTTTCCGTAAACACCCTAAGCTGATATTTGGGGAGCTGGGGACTTCTGCCTGCCACTAGCAATTTCCTAATTAGCCCAATATCCGATGGGCTCAGGCCATCCCCTGTGCAGCAGATTTGGCATCCTCTGAAAAGGAGCAGAGATTGAAGTTTGCACAGCAGATGCTGCTCCTTTGATTTGCAGCACAGCTCAGGCGTGATGAACGCTTCGGTTTTCAGCTCTGCTTGCAAACCTGTCAGACTTGAGCTCCTCTCTGCACCCTGCGTGCCCGCCCTTATCTTTTGACAAATGTTTCTTTAGTGCAAATTCAACTGTAATCATATCTAGAATTGAAGGAATAAGAAAAATACAGGAGGTGTACATCACTCTGCAGTGGGATCAAGAGAGACTGGCGTAACGGGGATTTCGGGCAAGGAAGGGGGGGGTTCAGCATTAATACACATAAAAGCCTGCCATGGGAAGAGGAGATGAAGAGTGCACAGCCAGAGCAGGGGGTGAGGAGGGAAATGGTGCTGATGTTTATCATGCCCTGGTAGCGCTGCTCTGGTGCTGGGCACAGCCCCAGGACCCCCTGGGACCCCCCGGGATGGGAGGTGGAGAGCACCCGGGTGCACGCACTGAGGGGGTTGATGCACGGCCTGATCCTGCATGGGAAGGGGACACCTGCGCACCCCTGCGCCCTTGTCCACCCCAGGCAACACCACCCACCCCAGGTCCCAGGAGTGCCACCCCCCCCCTGCAGAACAGCCCCATGCTCCCTGGTGCATCAGGACAACCCAAGCCCCAGAGCTGCCCAAAAGAGGGTTGAGTCATGGTCCTGGACCAGCCAGAGCTGCATGTTCTGTTTTGCACCCCTGGCTGGGTCATTTCCCAAAACCATAGGGAAAAATCTGGAATATGGGAAATGTTCTTAGATGTCAATCAATCAATCAATCAATCACTGTCATGTTCTTAATGCACTGCTTTTAACTA